CAGGTATCTTTTTATAGAGTGATTTGAGTTCTTCAGGGTATATTCTCAATAGGGGGATTGTGGGGTCATATGGAAGGTCGATTTTTAGAGCTTTCAGGAATTGCCACACTGATTTCCACAGAGGCCACACTAGTTTACACTCCCACCAACAGTGTAGAAGTGTTCCCTTTTCACCACATCCTCTCCAGCATCTGCTATTTTTTGAGTTATTGATGATGGCCATTCTGACTGGAGTTAGGTGGTATCTCAGTGTACTTTTAATTTGTATCTCTTTGATAATTATTGAGGTTGAACATTTCTTCATGTGTCTGTTGACCACTCATATGTCTTTTAAGAAGTGCCTGTTCATGGCTTTGGCCCACTTTGTAATGGGGTTGTTTGTTTTTTTCTGCCTCAGCCTTCCAAGAGTTTCGAACTAATGGTGCGCGCTACCACGCCCGGCTACTTTTTGATTTATGGTACATATGACGTCTTGCCGAGTTGCCCAGCCGGTCCCCGAACCTGTGCCCTCAGGCAATTCACTCACCTCAGCCTCCCAGAACGCGGGATTACAGGCTGAGCCAACGAGCCCGGCCAAAAAATGGCATTTTAAAAAGAAAATTAATTCCCCAGGACACGAAATTCACAGAAGGCCTATCCCTTCCCAAGCCCCTGAATTACACTGATGGTTCTTGGAAATTCAAAGGTGTCAAACTGAAAGTATATCTCAGTGCACCTAAAATCCCACCATAGGTGCCACTCCTGATGTGCCCTGAATCTCATGTCCCAGACCCTAAACAAGGCCATACTTGCTTTCCACATGTGCCCCAGGAACCTCTGTGGCCTAAGAAATAAAATGAAGCTCAGTTCAGCCACTGTGGTCCCAAGCAACCAGGTGAAGGGCCTCTGTGGCCTCATTCTGACACTCACCCATCCCTGCCTCGCCCAAAGCTCCCCTCAGAAGCCTCCCTGCATCCCTCCCCCAACCTGCACCTCAGCAGTAGCCCGAGACACGTTTCCAGGAGGGCTGGGGATACTCACACCCAGAGAGGAAGCCACAACCTCCGCCCCCCCCCCCCCGGGAAAGGGAAGGCAGTATATGATGACAGTCCGTTACCGTAGACCAACGATTCTCAAACTTTGGCAGACTTTGAAATCAAGGGGGTGCGGTGCCATGGGGTGCTCCTTAACATGCAGACTACTGTCCCGGAGCCGCAGATCGGGTGGGGCCCAGAAACTGGCATTTTAAACAAGCATCCCGCGTGATTCCGAAGCAGGCGGCGCCCCGGAGCCTCATTTAAGTGACTGCTCCCGACACCCATCAGCCCCTTCAGAAACCCCCCACCCTACCCTCTCCCTCCTGACCCATACTCTCTCAGCTCGCCCCTGACCTTCTCTCCTCAACCCCTTGCCTCGTCTTCCAGGCTTCTCGTATCGCCGGCCCCCACCCCATTCAGCTGGACCACTTCACCCTGACCTCCAACCTCCGCAGCCCCGCCCTCAAAAGGCCCCGCCCTTGCAGAAGCCCCGCCCCCAGGAAAGCGCGGACCACCCCCCCTCACCGAGCCGCGCCTCGCGCGGGGGGTTCTCCATCAGCTTCTTCAGGACCAGAGGGAAGGAGCCCGGCAGGCCCCTCTCCCCAGCTGAGCGCCCGGGCCCCGGGCCTGGCCCTGCCTGCGGCTCCACAGGCGGCTTCTTTCCGCCGCCCGCGTCGGACATCGTGCCCCGCGCTCTGCTCGCGCACTTCGCCTCCCCCGCCCGCCCCCCGAGATGGGCCGGAGCCGTGCGACCCGCTGCAGCTGCCGACTCGGGCAACTACTGCGCAGGCGCCTAGCGGCACCCCCGCCTCCCTCCATCCCTACCCCGCCTGCGAACCGGCTCTGGCACGTTAATTATTCATGAGGCCAGGCCAGTATTGCCAGATCGTGGCTTGGGATTGGCCCACCTTGCGTTAGGGGCTGGCGCAGCTTCCCGGGTCGTGATTGGCTGGGCAGCCGGGTGAGCTAGACACGTGCGGGGCCAGGTGAGGACCCCCGCCGGAGGCCCCGCCCCGTCCCCCCCAGTGTCCCCCGATTGGCGCCGGCTGGAGTCTGGCGTAGGCCTCCTTCGGGGCACTCCCTTCCCCTCTACTAAGGTCGTCCCTTCTCCACCTTCTACATAACCCCCGCCCTTCTGCCAGGCCACCTAGCCTTTTCCTCTCTCAATCGCGGAACCTTCCCGACGCGCCACCCAAGGGAGGCGGGGCTAGGAGCGGACAGGCCGGCCAGGGGAGCCTATCGGAGAGTCTGTTCGGGCTGCGTGGACGGCCCCTCGCTGATCACGTGGAGCTGCAGCTGAGCCTAGACGCGTGGGGAGGGGGAAGAGGAGGCGGCGCGGGAACAGCCAATGGAGGACGGGGGCGGGGCCCGGGTCGGAGCACGAGGCGCCGCACGTGCAGGGCTGCGGCGAGGCGGGGAGGATCTGGGAGGAGCGGGGCCTTTTTGTTCCGGGGACTCTGCCCAGGGTCGTGGGACGGGGACGCATAGCCCAGCCCGCACTCCTCTTCTCACGCGACCCAGGGGTTGCCCGAGGGCAGGGCCGTGGAAGGCGACCTGCCGAGCCATAGCGACGGCCCGAGCAGGTTTGGCCGCCGCCGAAGGGGTGTCAGGTTGCCCGCTGGTCCCAGGTTTCTGGTGCGAGCGTGGTGGCCAGATAAACACTAGCGTGGAGCGAGCATTCTTGAGCCCGCGCCCTGAGTCCGGGCGTGGGTACCCGCTTTGGTCCTCCCACTTACTAGCTCGTGACCTTGGGAAAGTCCGGTTGCTTCACTTGAGCTTGTTTCCTCGGCCGTAAAATGAAGAGCTCTGAAACAAACAGTTCTGAAATTCTGTGCCTTTGTAGGACTCTCCCTTTCTTTCTCAAAAAAAAAAAAAAAAATCTTTACAGAAGATACCGATCCCACATTTTGTGGGAGAACCACCTCCTCTTTTATATTTATATTTAAGTATAAATACTCCCTGGGAGATCCGCAGGATACTTGTAAAAATATAGAATGTGGAGGGGTACGCAAATGTAAAGGCATTAAAAAGACTTTACAGGAAAGCTGATTCTAAACAGCGCCGAGAACTTTGTACCTCTTTATAGTACAAATCTTACTCTGCTGCAAAGGGAAACAACACTATACTTTCCGGCTTAACTCCCAGAGAGCAAAGACTTTGTCTTGTTTATTCTGTATCCCTCCAATGGCTCAGTCCTTCTAGTAGGAGGGGCTGTGGAGTGGTAGAATGACAGTGCTTGGTTCAGGGGGCAGCTAGCTAAAAGTTGTCAGGTTGATGGAATCAGAATTTTGCTGGGAGTTGAGGAGGAAAAAGAAGTTGGGTAGCTGAGCAGGCCTGGAAAGCAAGAGATTTGAAGGATTTAGAGTGGTGGTAGGGACAGGATGGTGGCGTCTGATTCCAAAATTCAAGTTCTCCCTGTCACTGTAATAGGACTTCAATACCTCCCACCAATTGCTTCACCTCTGCAAGCCTCCTTTTCCTTACTTGTCAAATGGAGATAGGGCAGGATCTACCTTACGGGGTTTCCATGAGCCAATGTGTGAAGTTGCACAATTGGAAAGCTGCGATAAATGTACCTTTCATAATTTTACTGAAACTGTGTGGGGTGCAGATTCACTAGTTGATGTATCCATTATCCCAGAGGCTAATACAGTGCCCATGTCACTCGCAATTTAGTGAAAATAGTAGACTGTGTACAGAAAATCTGTTGTATTGTAGAATTGTTATCAATGGGAATTCTGTATGTAGCCAAACTTAGATATTTTTAGGAGAACTGACCTAGAGACTTTTAGAAACAACTTTTAAGGGGAATTCCAAGGAAAATGATTAAAACATAGGAAGACTGGGCTCGGTGGCTCAGCCTGTAATCCCGCGCTTTGGGAGGCTGAGGTGAGTGGATTGCCTGAGCCTGTGGGTTGGAGACCTGCTGGGGCAACTTGGCAAGACCTCCTCTCTACAATAAACCAAAAAAAATTAGCCGGGCGTGGTAGCGTATGCCTGTAGTTCCAGCTACTTGGAAGGCTGAGGCGGATGAATCGCCAGAACCCAGCAGGTCTAGGCTGCGGGGGCTGGGAGCGGCCAC